GGGAGAAGACAAAATTGCCACCAGGGAATCAGCTAGGCAAAGAGCAAAGATGACACACGAATATCAGAGAGGACATGGGCTCACCCAACACAGTTAGGTACCACATAATGCTAGATTATTGACTTGAAACTCTCTATAGTAAGATGGGGCCCACAGTCCTTTTGAGGACAACTGCTCATCTGTTTTAGCACGCTAAGAATTTGAAACTCTTCATGGAACTGCTCCTGGGGTCTCTTCTCTAGGACAGAACTTTGATTGATATCTTCAGTGATAAAAGATTGATCTTCATTCCTAGTCATCACTCAGTTGGTTTCTTTCCAGCATTCAGAGACATCTCTGCCACTTTCCTCAGTGAATTACTAAAGTACAAATTGAGTACACTGGGGACAGGGGATGCTCAGCTGGCCCTCTGTGTCACAAGGACGCAGGACACATAGGCTTGTTGAAGGCTGCCTCTCTTGCTCATAGACCTAAGGCGAGACATAGCAGTTGTCAGCCCTGGGATGAGCCATTGTTCTCTAGGGCTTGGGATTGCTTATCAGCATTGTTGTTCAATGTGTTGCTTAGAGGAGAAACATAAAGGGAAGTTGAAATGCGTGTTGGACATCTCTAAAAGTGGAAAGGATTGAGCAGTGCCTTAGACACTGATCCAATTCCCGATAGCCAATTGGATTCTGGGAAGTGCTTCTGCCTGAAAGGAAACATAGGTCATAGGAAATAAAACTGCCAAGATTGAGCACCTTGCTGGAGCTGAAGTTCTTCTCCTGAAAGGGAAGACAGCGAGGTGAGCAGAGAGATGGAGACTTCCTCTATGCATCTTTGCAATAGGTGCTCTCCCTGGCAAGGTCTTCTGCTCACAGGTATGTGTATTCACTCTTTGACTGTGAGGTGGGAGGGGTATTTGGAGACAGACTGGAGACAGACAGAGCACAGGAGCCTGAGAGGAGACTTGGGGTTTTTGTTTGCAGTCACTGGGCATTAAGTTGCATTTAGGGACAGAGGCTTAACACCCTGAAGCTCTAAGTGGACAGGAGGATCGGGGGAAGAAAAAAGCCTCAACCATTCAATATTCACAGCCAGTTACAATGGCTGTCATGTTCTGAGGCATAATATCCCCTACTATGCCAGCCAGTGTGATTCTCCAAATAGAAATCAAATAGGGATGGGGCCAGCTAGACAGCCCAGTGTGTGGAGACATGACAATCTGATTTTAATTCTCAGCTCTCTCATTGTAGGTAGGGAAAATAGCCTTCTGCAGGCTCTCATATACCATCCACAATTAGCATCGGCATGCACGCACACGGATGCGTACTAAGGCATGTGCTTCCACACATTTTTGTCACATATACTTCCACGTGGTCCCATGGAGACACCTCTTTTCAGAAACACACACATAAAATACATGAATAAATCTAAAATAATTTAAATCAAACTCGAGTAAAGTTATTGTCATTAACTCCAAACTTGGGAATTATGTAGTTAATCCCATTGGGGCACTTCCTTCCTTCCTTCCTTCCTTCCTTCCTTCCTTCCTTCCTTCCTTCTTCCCTCCCTCCCTTCCTTTTCCAAAACTATCACACTAATCCCTGCCCTCAACGCATGTGCTGGCTCTTATGTTCCAGATGTCAGTGCATCTGCAAGATGAAGCAGTGGTTTGATTGGAATCACAAAGGGGACAGAGGTAAAAGTCAGAGGAGGAGTTCAGAGAGGATTTGCTCCTGACACCAAATAGTCTATGTGGAGATGGGTTGGGGGGAGCGAGATTCCTGAGCACAGAATTCATAACAGAGTTAATGGCACTGTCAGAGGCTTTGAGGGAATGGAAGTCATGTTGCTCATGTCTACCAAGGGTAGTGGACGCACTGGTAACCCCATATATAAGCTGAGTGATGACCACATCTGCTCAGCATTGATGGCTTCTTTTCTCTGTTCTTTTCTAGCCTCCCTCGTAATCTGCTGGCACCTCTCTACCGCAGCCCCTGCCACCATTGAATCTGTCCCTGTCACCATTGAATCTGTCCCACCCCATGTGGTTGAAGGAGAAAACGTTCTTTTCCTTGCCTACAACCTGCCAGATAATGTTCAATCCTTATTTTGGGCCAAAGGGGTGACTACTATGAACCTTGGAATTGCAACATATATACTAAGTGAAAATTTGAGTATTCCAGGGACTGTTAACAGTGGTAGAGAGACTGTGTACCCCAATGGATCCCTGCTGATCAGAAATGTCACCAAGAAGGACACAGGATTCTACACCCTACGAACCTTAACTAAACCTTTTAGTATTCTGTCAACAACAAGCATTTACCTTCATGTGCACAGTAAGTGATCCTTTGTGAATTCTGGGTTGTCGGTGGGGTTCATTCCACTGGGCACTCACAGTATAATGGCCTGTGCCTTTCTCATTGTGGACTGCACCTCTATGTTTGGGTATGAGGATTCAGTGCAGGACACACATGGTGTAGAGTAATTGCAATAGCTCACATTCCTTCATTTGACTTCACTTTACAGACAGATGAACCGATGCTCAGTAACTCAGTTAAGAATAACAGCCTCTATATCTAGACTCTTGGGATTCTCACAGGGATGTGTCCTTGAGAAAGACCCAGAGCGAATCATCATTGGGCATGGTGGATGAAAATTTGAGGTCCTCTCATAGTTGTGAGAACCAAGATGCCCTGGCTGCAGAACTCTGTTCCAGACTCAACCAGCTAGCTAGCCCTTAGAAGCATCTCAGAAAGGTTAGATTTTGACTTCCTAATGGCAGGGAACAATGCTTTTTATTAGCTCAAGTCCCGCACTTTTGGAACCACTGTTATGAGCTATATGATTAGTTTATGTACCCTTAACATCTTTCTCAGAGACTAAACAGGGAAAGTATAGCTGCACAGCCATTACACATGTGTTCTGACAGGCTTATGAGATTTCACAGGAAAGTCTGGGAAACCCAGTATAGGGAGAGAGGACACAGGTTCTTCTGACCAGTGTCCTCTGAGGTCTAGCTCAAGGAATTCTCTCCTGCACAGAAATGGCTGCAGGCTATGCTTATTGACAGCTTCCCGGATACAGCCGTCAGTTCCTCCAGTGATCACCAGGAATGGCATCAGGACATACAATATTCTGGTGGAAAAGAATTTGCCTGAATTGGGACCTTATCTAGTAGACTGGTTCCACCCCTGTATTTTAAGATCCGAAAATCACAGACACAGAATTCTCAGACCTACTGGCTTTTTAGTGTGTCTGTCACACTGCAAGGGGATCGTGTTTTGTTTCTTCCTTTATGTGTTTCCTTTGTGAAATATACAATATTCAAGGGGAATCAATTAAGATAGAGGTCCAAGTTATCTCAGAAAGACCAAAGAGCACATGAGAGACCCATCACTCAGCTCAGCAAATAGAGGAAGTGGGAGTATGGCCTAGAAATCAGCCCCCTCCTCTCACACATCTAGGAGACTCCTGACACATCCTGGGCCTTTGATCAGATTGGTCAGAACCTTGACTCTTGGCTCTACTGAGAATACTTCTGTTTCCTTCCCCACACATCACTCAGCTGCTCCCTTTGGATCCTCACAGCTATCTCTGTCACCTTGTTGCCTGGAGCAACTTCCTTGTTTGCAGACCATTAAGAACACAGGACAGATGGAGTGCCCAGCTGGATTTCTGTGTCACAGACTTGTGGAGAGTTTCTCTTTTTGGTGTTTAGTGACCAAGGCCAGAATACATCAGAGTGCAGCCACAGGGGCAGCTGTTTTTCTCTGTCACAGGGATGGCCATTCCTTGTGTGTTCTAGGTGACAGAAACATGAGGAGGAGGGAGGGAGGGAGGGACACCGGGCAGAGCAGTGTCTTGAGCACAGACCCACCTTCACCCATGGGGCTCTGGGAGGTGCTGCTCCCTGGAGGAGACTCAGATCAGATGGGGGAAGAAAAGCAGACATCGTGAGCTGTTCTGGAGCAGATATGCAGTAGAGGGAAGACCAACGGGGCCGCAGATACCTGGGAGGCGCTCTCTGTACCCCTCTGCAAAGGATGTATTATCGCTCACAGGCAAAGGCGCCACAAGATGGCTGTGTGCCATAGGAGTGGGCCGACTCTCTGTCTGGAGTCTCCTAAGAGGGACCAGAACATGTGAAGAGTTTTCTTGTGTGTAGGGGATGTGACAGGGCGGCTCAGAGGTTTAGAAACAACATTACACAGTAAGGGAGAACGATAAAAGGCAAGGGTGGTAAAGACATTGTTCTTACCCAAAATTAACAAACATTCCCACAATATTCTGAAGACTGATATTCTCAGCTTTTTATGAATACAAAAAATCAAGCTGGTGTGCGCCAGTGACATAGGCCAGTGGATATAGACACCTGATTCTTATTCTGACAAGCTGAGGCCAACGAACCAAATTGTCCCCTGACCTTCACTCAAGTACTTTGTCCTGCATTCACCCACCCACACAGAGATTAGTCCTACACAAACTGACACACAAATATCATCTGTGAACAACTATAGAAATAGAATGATTCAATACTGTATTCAAGTTTTTTTTTTTTTTCTAGGCAGTATTTTTTAAAATAAGAAAAATCAAGTTTTTTGTTTTTGGGTTTTTTTTTTGTTTATTTAAGATGTCCCAGTCTTAGTGGAGTTGTAAAAACCTATGTAGCAGGCGAAGTCAGGTGTCGAGTGGAACTCTAGGAGGAACAGAACAACAGTGATTAAAAAAAAAAAAACTTACATAGTGAAGTTGCAGGGTCTGCAGGGGAAGAGCTCTGGTAGGCATCACCCCAACACCAACCCACTGTAAATGTGAGCAGGGATCTGGTGGCAGTAAGACAGGCTGTGTTGACAACTGGAGACCACAGAGGAGTGGCAATGGCAAGTAGAGGGACATTGAGGGCACTGAGGTCATGTGCTTGCTTCCTCCTAGCAGGACAGGGAGACACTCACACACCTAGCTTAAGCAGTGGACTCTGGGCCTCATCTCAGACAGATCTCTCTCTTCCCTCCTAGCTGTATTTTGGACTTGTGGGCGCCATGACACCTCTACGCAGCTCACTGTTGAAACGGTGCCACCCTGTGCTGCTGAAGGGGCAAGTGTTTTTCTACGCATTCACAACCCGCCGGAGAACATTGTAGGCTATGTGTGGTTCAAATGGATGACTGCATTACAGAAACTGGAGATTGCCAGGTACACAGTAGACAGGAAGTCAACTGTGTGGGGGCCTGCGTACAGCGGCAGAGAGACGGTGTACCAGGATGGATCCCTGCTGATTCACGGGGTCACTCAGCAGGACTCTGGACTGTACACGCTTCAGATTGTGAGGACAGATATGATTCGTGAGGAGGCGCAAGCGCAACTCCAGCTGGGCAGTAAGTGACTCTCCGTGACTGTTCATCGCTGGGCGGGGCTTAGACACACAGGACGGACGTGGCCGGCTTAGCCTTCCCTCCCTCTGCACTGAGTTTCCAGGTGGAGGTTTGGACACTCAGTGCAGGACACTCTAATAGAGAGCAACGGCCACAGAGTGGCTTCTGTCTTCTGACTCCATCTGCATCAAGGAAGACCTTGATAGAAAGTAACTCAGCCCAAGATGTTAGAGTTAACCCACTCCCTTGGGGCTCTAGACCAGGGATCATTGAATCCTGTCATCTTCCTGACGCTGGGCTAAAATGATGCAGGGGAGCATTTTCCTAGCTCTTACATCCTCTCTAAGCTGATAGGGGATAATGGTTTTAGAACATGCATGTGAAACTGTGGTGTTTATTATCTCCAGAAAGTGATAGAGAGGCCGTGGAGGAGTGCTTCCCATTGGCCTGCTCATCATGCTTTCTCCACCAGCTGTCTTATATCACCCAGGACTCCTATTGCACGGGTGAACTGCATTTTGCATCAATCCCACATTGAAAAAATATGCAGTACGATTTTGCCCACAGTTCACTCTGGTGGTGGCATTTTCAAGTGAGGCCTTGTCTTGTAAAATGGCTGTAGCTTGTGCCAAGCTGACACACAAACAGCCAGCACAGTACCCCAAGCCTTTGAAAACCTGAACCTGCCTTGAAGATCAGACCCCACACAGCCCCAGACCAAAAGGTTAACCCGAAAGAGCAGCAAGTGCATCTATCAGGTTGCCGCAAAGGAAACTGAAAAGGAAAACCTTGAAAGTGAGAGTTACAGGCCTGTTGAATTCAGGGAAGTCATCGTCTCAGACCTCGGTGTGTATGAGTGTGTGCAGTGTTTGGCTGAGGGCAACGAGGGAGCAGACATGTAGACACCCATAGGTACAGTTCTATGCAGTTTCAGGGGCAGTGTTGGAAAGGAAAGGGCATATTTCTGACCTTTAGTATGGGACACACACACACACACACACACACACACACACACACACACACACACACCTGTAGCTCTAGTCTGAGGTACAATTCCATCTGTTCAGGATGGAGGTCATCATCTTTTCACCAAGCCCAATGGTCCCTATGTGATGGCTTTTTTTTTCTCTTTTTTTCCTCACAGCTTCCCTTTCTCCATACTGCAAACCTCTCTCTTCTTCCCAACTTGTGGTCCAACCTGTGCCTCGGTATGCTGCTGAAGGAGCAGGTGTACTTCTCAAAGTTCACAATCTTCCAGAAGATATGCAAGTCTTTACCTGGTACAAATCAAAGAAGAGGATCCCGGTCCTTAAAGTTGCAGAATACAGGCGAGATACGAATGCCATCACCTGGGGGTCTGTACACAGAACAGATGACATGGTGTACAATAATGGATCCTTATTGCTCCCTGACCTCACTGAGAAAGATGGAGGAATCTATACATTAGCAGTTCTAAAAAAAGATTCCACAATTGAAAAGGCATATGTGAAATTTTATGTGAAGAGTAAGTGACTTTCTATTGTCTCCAACTGCTGGGTGTTGCTTATCCTACTTTATATACTGAAAAATGTCAGGATTGGGATGTCCACGCTCTCTCCCTCACCACATCGGGTCCCTCCACAGGGGTTTGTGTCCGCACTGCAGGACACACATGGGGTAGAAAAACTGTAATAGGTCATAACCCTTCACATGTCTTTACCTGCAAAGAGCAGGGCCAGTGTTGGGTAAACTCAGCCCCAGGATGTCAGATGTAGTCCAGACATGTGGAGCTCTCGCCATGCACATGTCCTCAAAAGACTCTGTGGAAGTCAGGCAGTCCCTGGCTGATTAAACTGTGGGGTTCTCACAGAGTCCGTCAGGAAGCCATGACTCCAAAACTTTGCTCTTGACTGAACACAAGGAGACATCGGGGAGCTCTTTTGTAAAGATTTGTTAGGATTTCCTGTTAGAGCTGACAGGGAACAGGTTTTATGTCTGTCCAAGTCATCGGACTGACTGTCCCATAGAGTGTAGAATCAGTTGTGCACTGCCATGACCAACTGCACTTAGGTAGGTCACCTGTACATCTCCTTCTCCTGAGTCTCAGTGGACAGGTATCCAGGCCATTAGCATATTGTTCTGAGATGTATGAGACGTCACAGGAAGGGAAAGAAAGAGAGGAGGCAGCTACTCCAGATTCTTCCTTCACCTCAGGTGCCAGGCCTAGGAAAATTCTATTCTGCAGATAAATGGTAACAAGTGCTGCTGACAGAGCAGAATTCCCCTCTCCAAGGTCAGATAATAGCTCATGGCTCATGGTTATAGCAATGATCATGTACTAAATATTCTATTACAGGGTAACCAAGACACAGAAAACAGTTCCTGAATCAGGGTCATATAGGCCCTGTGTGGCAGATCCAAAGCACAAGGATGTCCACAGTCACAGCTCCAAATTCTCCCCCGGAAGTATTATAAAGTATGAACTAAAGAGGGCATGATTGAACACACTGGACTCCTTTAATTTGATAGCCTCTTCTGTTTCTTTACAGAGCCCGTAACACAGCCCTTTGTGCAAGTCAGTGATACCATAATTGCAGGACGTAGAGCTGTGATCTTCACCTGTGTTTCACCTGACACTGATATCTCCATCCGCTGGATCTTCAATAACCGGAGTGTGCATCACTTAGAGAGGATGACGCTGTCCCCGACAAAGTGTGGACTCGTGATAGCCCCTGTCAGGATTGAGGATGCTGGACAGTACCAGTGTGAGGTCTCCAACCAAGTCAGTCTGAAGACCAGTCTCCCAGTGTCCTGGCCACGATGAGTGAGTGACCACTTATTTCATGCTACAGTAGATTGCTAGCGTTTCTTTAAAAATGGGGCGCAAAACGGAGAAAAGTTATGTGGTGAAAATGACCAGTCACTACTCAGGTACTGCCAGCGTGGTCACCCATGCCTGCAACCCTGGGCTACACGAGGGTACAAGGAAAGGGCAGGGGTCAAAGTGAGTTTATTGAAAGAGAAAATAAAGACATCCATATGGCAAACAAAAAAATCAAAAGCCTTAAGAAATTTGGTTGTGGTTCAAATATACAGCAGTTCTTCAGAGTTCATGGTAACTAATTTCAGGAGCCCTCACACTGTTGGATGCCCCGAGTCTGCGGTGAAAATTGTGCATTGTTTGCATAGAGAAAACATCCTCTCATATGTTCAAATACGTTCCGTTTAACTAATTCACCTAAGTACAAGGATGCCTGCACACCTGTCGTCCATCTGAAGCAAAAGGAAGAGTGTCAGCGGGAGGGTCTGCCCGTGCTTCACTGTGGACAAAGCTGGTTTCCAGACATTTTAACCATGTTTTGTTTGATGCACAGATGTAAAGGCCAGACTGACTGTTTTCATCCTGAAAAGGGTATTCACAGTGGGGCCTTGCACATGTGTGGTTTCCCTGTTAATATGTACTTTTTCCTTTTTTATTATACTCTCATATAGTACATGAAGACCACAGATCCTCTCCCTGCACACCCCCCCCCCAACACCAACTTCCATTCTATCCCAGATCCACTCCTTCTGTTTCCTTTTAAAAAATAAGTAGGCCTCCTAGGGATATCTACAGAACGTGGCATAGCAAGAGATATTTGACTGGACACAATCCCTCATATCAGATCTCGGAAAGGCAGCCCAGTAGGAAGAAAAGGGTCCAAAGGGCAGGTGAAGAGTCAGAGATGTCCCTCACTTTCACTGTTAGGAGTTTCACAAATATTCTCATCTGTATTAGCATAACTTACATGCAGAGGCCTTAGCCCAAACCCAAGCAGAATCGCTGATTATCACTCCAGTCTCTGTGATCCTCTATAAGCCCTGCTTAATTGTTTCTGTGTTCCATGTTTCCATGGTGCCTTTGACCCCTCTATTTCCTACAATCCATCCTTCCCTTATTCTGCCTTATTCTGTGGGATTCCTCTGGTGCTCCCAAGTGCTTGGCTGTATGTCTCTGCATCTGTTCCCATATGTGGCTGGATGATGTCTCTTTGGTAACTGCTGGCTGTACAATGATCTACCTACAGTATAACAGAATATTATTAATACTTCTTTCATTTAAATATTTTTCTAGTCATATTTGTGTCTATCCTGAATTTCTGGGCTGTCCAGCCTCTGCCTCCTGGTCATCTTGGCAGCGTCAGATTGGGGCTCACCTCTCATGGCATGGACTTTAGTTTGGATCATTTATTGGTTGGCTACTACTACAAGTTCTGTTCTACCCTTATCCCAGTATATATTTGAGGAAGCACAGATTGTAGCTCAAGTGTTTTGTGGCTGGATTGGTGTCCCAGTCCTGTGTCTAGAAGTCTTCTGTGGTTGTCCTGGCTACTTATCCCTCACTACTGGGCATCTTTGCTAGGGTTACTGTTGTAGATTCTAGGGAGTTTCCACTCTAGTAAGTTTCTACACTGCTCTCAAAATACCCCACTATTACAGTCATTACTCCAAGTACTCTCCCCTCCTGTCCCATCTCCCCTGCCTGTTCCCTCCTGTTCCCATCCCCACCTGATTCCATCTGTTCATAATGTCTTTTCTGTTTCTTCTTCCCAGGGAGATACACTTGATTCTTCCTTGTTACTTAGCTTCTCCATGTATCGACAAAACAAGGCATCTAACTGTTCATATACAATATTAGTCTACAGTAATAGAGCTCAGATGGTTGTGTTTGTTTACCAGTTCAAGAAACTTATGTAGAATTTTTAGGATTTTCAAAAAATGAATTCATGTAATCTGCAGATCTATTTTTACAGTCAAATAATTGTCCAATTTTTATTTATTTGTCTTGCTCAATTATTCTGTCTAGGACATCTAAGAGAATACTGGAGAAAAGTGTCCACCACAGCATCATCCTGTGTCGATCCTGGTCTTAGAGGCAAAGCTATCAGTGTCCCTGCTGAGTATTGAGTTGGAAGTGTTTTTTCATGTATACCCCTAATGCACTGGCTTCACTTTTACCCCTAGTTTGTCTGAATTCATCATTAAAAATTGTTCACTTTTGTCAAATGTCTTTTATTGATTCAGTTTTATGAGTTACTCATGGAATCAGTTTTGTGTTTCTTTATGCTTCCATTTCTGTAAGTCCAGGGATTCTATATATTTGTCTGTTTCATGTAAGTTCCTCTATAATTACCCCCATCACTATTGAGTAGTCACAGAAATTCCAGTAATCAGAAAAATGGATAACAAGTTTTCAAATTTCACTTGTAGTATTAATTATGTTACTCTATTAAAAACAAAGTTAATCTGTTAAATGATGTCAATAGCATCAGTCACTTTGGAGAATTAACATTTGTCATTTATTGAAAATAGATTCTTTTCTCATGCCATTTTCATATGCTTTTTATAAGGGTACAGATACCCTGATATGCCACACAATAAAGAAAAAGAATAAGAGACTAATATTACTCATGAACATTAATGCAAAAATAATAAATACTGGCAAACCAAATCCAAGAGCACAGAAAAAAGAAAACCACTCACCATGATCAGATAGGCTTCATCCCAGAGATGCAGAGATGACTCAGCCAATGAAAATCTGTCTATGACAAGGCTGTCCTCTCCATATCTCTTCAATATTGTACTTGAAGTTCTAGCTAAAAGAAATAAGACAACAAAAGGAGATCAAGGGAATCCAAATTGGAAAGGAAGAAGTCAAATTGTCTCTATTTGCAGATGATATGATAGTTTACATAAGCGACCCAATAAACTCTATCAGGGAACTCCTACAGCTGATAAACACCTTCAGCAAACTAGCAGGATACAAGATAAACTAAAAAATCCAGTAGCTCCACTATATACAGATGAGAAAGAAATCAGAGAAACATCACCCTTTACAATAGTTACAAACAACATAAAGTATCTTGGGGTAATGCTTATCAAACAAGTGAAAGACCTATATAGCAAGAACTTTGTGTTGTTAAAGAAAGAAATTAAAGAAGATACCAGAAAATGGAAAAATCTCCCATTCTCTTGGATAGGTAGGATAAATACAGTAAAAATGGCAATCTTGCCGAAAGCAATCTACATACTCAATGCAATCCTCATTAAAATCCCAGCACAATTCTTCACTGACCTTGAAAGGATAATAATCAACTTTATATGGAAAAACAAAAGACCCAACATAGCCAAAACAACCCTGTACAATACAGGAACTTCAGGAGGCATCTCCCTCCTTGACTTTAAGCTCTACTACAGAGCTATAATTCTGAAAACAGCCTGGCATTGGCACAAAAATAGACAGGTAGACCAATAGAATGGAATCAAAGATACTGACATTAACCCACACACCTATGGACACCTGATTTTCGACAAAACAGCTAAAATATACAATGGGAGGAGGAATGCATCTTCAACAAATGGTGCTGGCACAACTGGATGATGGTGTCTAGAAGACTGCAGATAGACCCACGTCTATTGCCATCCATGCACAAAACTTAAGTCCAAATGGATCAAAGACCTCATCATAAATTCATCCACACTGAACCTCTTAGACGGGAAAGTGGGGGGGTACCCTTGAACAAATTGGTAGAGGAAAGTGCTTCCTGAACATAATACCAGTAGCACAGACACTGAGATCGACAACTCATAAATGGGACCTTCTCAAACTGAGAAGCTTCTGTAAGGCAAAGGACACAGTTGACAAGACCAAACAGCAGCCCACAGACTGGGAAAAGATTTTCACCAATCCTACATCGGACAAAGGGCTGATTTCCAAAATATGCAAAGAACTCAAGAAACTAGTCAACAAAACAGATTTTGATGATCCCTCCTGGAAGGCATCAACCCTCCCTGAGGAGTGTGGAGGGGATGGGAGGGGTTGGGAGTCATGGGAGGGAGAACTGGGATCGATATGTAAAATAAGAAAAAATAATATATATGTGTGTATGTATATATATGTGTATATATATATAACCAAAAATAGTGTAAATACAATAATCATGTAGGAAATTCTAAAAACACTTTTAAAAGCTTTAAAAGGAGTGAAAATGAGAGAGAGAGAGAGAGAGAGAGAGAGAGAGAGAGAGAGAGAGAGAGACAGGGAGAGGGAGAGAACAGGAAAAATTGCTAGGACACTCATCATGGAAGAAGAATGAGAATCCTCTTCTGGGAGCACTGTCCGCTTCTGGGGAACAACACTGAGCAGTCTTCTCCAGATTCTTGGCAAAAAGCTACATTCTGATCCATAACCATATGGGGACGAAAGGACGTTTCACAATACTCATTTATTTTCAGTGTAGTGTACATGACAAGGATCATGGAGGACTCGGGTGTTGTAAACAGACAGTACTCATGTCACAACACAGACAGCTTGTATACTCTCCGTCTTACAGTGAGTTGCAACAGATACAGCCTGGGGTAAAGCTGCAAATCTGTGTCCTAACACAAGTTGCAGAGACCATTTTTTGGCAGTGTATTGGAACTCAGCATATGGCTAGAGTCTTCTAAGATAGGAGCTTGGGTGGGTGGGGGGACTAGGTGTTTGTTTTTGTAAACCAAAGGGAGAGGACAGAGGACAGAGGTTCAGTAGTAGGAAGTCCTTGGTAAATTGGAACAGTAAGAGGAGGTAGGACCAGATTATGTTGTACTCAAAGTTTATTATCCTTGGCCATTATTTTTTGAAAACTAATGTTCCTAACCAAGGCAGGGTCACCCTCTAAAGGAAAATAAGAGCAGGGTAGGCCACTAAAAATAGATAAGTAGGTAAAAGCACTTGCTTCCAAGGATATCATTATGATTTCAATCTCCAGATCCAACTTGGTGGAAGGAGAGAACTCACTCCCT